TATATATATATATATATATACTTTATATATATGTATGTATATATATATATATACTTTTATATATATATATATTTATGATATATATCTTTTATATATATAATCTGATAAAGAGTATATAAATATATATATATATAGAATATATCTCACAAAAAAAGTTTAACGCCCTAATTTTTATCGTGTGTATTTTATATAAATGATATGTACGTGATAAAGTGTATTTTCATGTCCGCTTTGAGGAAGTCTTTTCTTTTCCACGTACCTTCTCTCGTTATTTAGAGTTTATTTTTCTTTCCTTTCTATGAAATGGATTCTGATCTTCGAAGTGATATCTTTATCATGTTCTTTTCATTCTTAAAACCATTATCTTAAAGAAAAACGTTAACAGAATTGATAAGAAATTATTAAAATTCTTTTTTTTTTCTTTGTTTCCCCTCCTCTGAAAGTTTTTTTTTCACGTTAATTTATTTCTCATACTGTTTTTTGCTTTTTTTAAAGTTCATCTTAGGGTCTTCAGCCAAAGAAATCTCTAATGAAGTGTTGAATGGAGTCGGATAATAGGGGAAATTTTGAGCGAGACATTCTTCACGTGTTCTTTGCAGTAGGAACTTAAATTCCCCTTTTTTCAATGTATCACCGTTGGCAATCACATGATAAATCTTTTCAAATACATTTTTTTCGAGCACATGCTTACAAATTTATCGATCGGTATTGATCTGTTCGTAATTTTTTGTTATTCTTGCTAGCATAGACTGATATGTCTTCCCGTGTCTTGCATATTTTGAGGTAAAACTTCATTCGCCCGAATTATTTTTATATATGTTTTCCTCACTGATATGTTTAAAGGTGAATATTGTGGATGATTCAATTACTTAACAATATAGAGAAATCTACGACAAAACCTGGGAATGGCCATGCTTTTTGATCGGGGAAACAGAAATTACCATCGATTTGATTCTAGTATTGTTTATCATGCCTTTTTAGGTGTGTGCAAAATTTTCCAGCTTAAATCCAGTTCTCAATCTATTTTTCTTCTGAAAATGAACTCCAGGATCTTCAGACACATCTATTTATCTTTTATATATATATATATATATATATAGATGAGAGAGAGCACTAATGGTCTGAGCTAGTAGGCATGTAATTGAAAAAAATATATATATATATATATATATATATATATATATATAATAAAATGGGGATTGGGAAAAAAGTCACCTAATATTTAATATTGTGATATTCATTTATGTTATATGAGTTTTGACAGAAGAATTAAAACTTTGTTACTTACAATTGAATTTCCAGTGATTTTTTTTTTGTTTTTTTTTTCTTAAGAAAAATAATTTGTTTTTTTCTTCAAACTTTTTTTTATTTTTTACTGGTTTCGCTTAGCTTTTCAAAAGTTTTGAACTGTTTCTATCTACACGTGAAAATAGAAACGATTAAAATCTTTTTGAAAATCTATGTGAAACCAGTTAAATTTAAAAAAAAAATTAAATAGGAAAACAACAAATTAGTTTTCTGAGAAAAAAAAACACTGAACATTCATTCATTCATATATATATATATATATATATATATATAATGAAAGAGTGTCCCGTATTTCTAATTTTTTAATCTGGCAACCCTATAGTGGGGGAGATTTTTGTTTAGTTTTTGCTTGTTCTAGTATTTTTTTTTTTAAGGTGTATATGCTTTTGAAATTGGTGTATTTTTTTCTTTTGACTTTTTTCTTCTTCTTTTTGCTGACCTTTGATTAGATTTTTCTTTCCGGTGTTGATTTTTTTCTTTGTTTTCGGTCATTATTACAAAGATTGACTAGTGTCTTTCGAAACTAGTCCGGTCTCTTTGTACTAAATCGTACAATCCGGCAGAAACACCGCATAACAAAAACAAATGCTTCATCTGGGGAAAATTCAAACAGAAATGTTCTTTCAGTTTATTCAAGTTTAATTTTTCTTTTTTAAATCACATTAATTATCACCATTGACTTTGTTCGTTTTTTCTTGTCAGTTTGTCATAAATTATTATTTCAAAACATCCGTTTTCAAACCACAATTAAGGTAAATTATTTCTTAATATAACTTATAAGAGTCCATATAATTGGAGATTTTGTAATGTGCGATATTAGTTTGAATTTATCAGAATATTTTGTTCTATTGTTACAGATCATCAATAGCTTTTTGGCAATTTGCAGTTTTCATTATTTTTTTATTTTCTTTTATCTCCACACTTGGCAGCATTTGAAAAAGTTATCTATGACAGCTAACGAAAAGTATTATAAATGAGATATCAGTGTTTCCTTTGTCAGTTATTGTTTTCAATTTGTCCTTTTTTTTTTATTTCTCTACAGGTAACAGCAATAGAGACCATGTTCTCGGGGTCGTCTGCGGCGACGAATCAAAAACCTATGTGTCCACAGGACAGGAAATGTTAGTGGTGCTGAAGGGAGATAATAATCAAACAGGTCGTTTTCTTGCAGCGTATTATTCCGACGTTAAGGGTAAGTTTAAAATCTTTCTAAAGTTTCAGTCATGTTTTACACCACTTTAACTGGAACTACAGTTTACGGCAGAATTACATCACACCTAACAGCAAGATATTATCGACAGCGCTGTCTTCATCTAGCTAATGTCTTACCATTATGTGGGAAATATTTCTGAGGCTCCGTGTAATTAAATCGACTTGATCGCTCGCAAAAGAAAAGAAAATAAGAAACAATTGGGCGATAGGAATAAAATTTGTAGATTACAATTGATTAGACCTTCCACAAGCCACGACTTGACATTTGTAAATACAAACCTATGTAAGAGTCCTTCTACTCGGTTTTTCATTGAATGTTAAAATTCGGAGTGTCGGGATTCGATACAATTACAAAATGTCGTTACAGAGTCGCTCCTAATTTGAATATTCACACGATTTTCATTGAAGGAATAAAATTCAGTAGAAAAGACAACGTAGTCTCAACAAATAAACATTAATTTAATATAACGACAAGAATACAAGCAGTTGGTGATAGACTGGAAAGTAATGTATTTTTATTTGGGTTAATAATTGTTCTGAAATAAAATATAAACTGTCTTTGTGTACGTATGTGAGAAACAATAAAATGTTATGTGTGTTTGCATGAAAAAGTCAACGTGTGTGCGTGATTCATAGTAAAGTGGATACAAGAGATAGTCAGAAATTGTTTCTTACTGTTGGCGGTGTTGCCGTAGTCTGAAGTTTGTGAACGCTGTCGCTTTTAGTATGTGGTCGTGAAGATCATAAGCGAGAATTGCGTGGAGTTTGGTGACAGTTGTGTGTATCCTGTTTGGGAAACGAATTTCGTATGTTTTTATACACCTTTTCGTAAAAAGAATCAGCTCCAGAATTAAATTATTTATTTATTCCTAATTGGCCCTAAAAAGGACACGTGGTATGTCTTCTACTACGTCCGTACGATATTTGGTTGGTATCTACCTAAAAATAATAGGTTTGTATGGATAAAATGTGTATTCTCTAAAAAGAATACCCGCTCGGCCCGGTGGCTAGGATCAAAGTGTAGTATCTGTGCTTTGTGAGCTGCCGGGTCGGGTGTCTGTCGAACTCTCTGCTTGCAGAGAGGAACCCTGACGAAGCTCTGCCGAAGGGTGGGGTTTCGTTGGGGGAGGTTGACGGAACTGACCCGCCTCGGCGGGTTTGGATGGTTATTTATTTTTGGCTGGGCCTACGGGCTCGGACATACCCACATTAAAAAGGCCTTGTGCCACATTCAATTCCTGTGGGTGAATTGATAAATACCATCTACCTAAAAATAATGATGACTAATACAACAAACATTCTGATTTGTATTCTATGATTTTATTGGTGTGTTTTAAGATGTGTTTTCTTGTGTATAATTGGTTTATAAATATTGTATTTGATATTTTAGTGGACACGACACCTAAGTACAGATAACTTTAAAAAGTTAGGGAGCGATTTGACACTGAGCTTATATTATGAAAAGTCTTTCTTTTCACATGCCGTGTCCCCTCAGGCCGTAGGTGATCATGATTCTCCACTTCCCCCATCCCTTTTAGCTCTCAGTAAGTTTCGTCCTTCTGCCACCTCTCCCAGACCGCGTTCTGTCATCCACTTGCTTAAGCCCGCCAGATTTTAATTTTTTAATATTTTTTTATTGTTCATTGTATATATATATATATATATATATATATATATATATATATATATATATATTAAAATGCTTATACTTTGTAGACTACGTAGTTGGGGGACTGTTTAAGGACACTGGGTACTTTAATCTGTTTGTCTTTCGTCCAAACAGAGTTTACTGTGTGTCTCACCTCAGATGGTGCTAAAATAAACTTTGCACTCAATGTCTATCAGAAAAGCCAGGTTAATCCGTAGGTTGACCTGAGAGATAACTTCCAATCACGTAATAATTTCTGCTCTCCTGTAGACATTTAAAGGCAAGCAGCAGCTGATTTGATGCAGGGGTGGGGTGGGGAGTTTTTATTCATTGCAAGATATTAAAGCAAATTGATTTTCGCAATATGCTCGTTGAAATATCATTTTGCTTTACGCATTGTCAACTTCCTGCAAATTATTGGCGAAATCAAATGCATTTAAACGGGTAACAAGGAATGCAGTCTATGTCCCAGCACTTTTAACATCATTAATGACAAATAGATACCCTATGAGCTAAATAGTTTATTATAAGCTTTGTTGTATTACATCAATATCGCAGGCTGTCAACATTCTTCCAGAAATAATGAATTAGTATAATGGTCAGCGGCTTAAAGCGATAAATCGGTCAGCCGAGTTCGAATCCCGGCCGAGCTCATAGCATTCACTTTCGCACAAATACTCTTGCAAAAATGTATGTGTCCATCTCTTGCTCCTCCTCCTCCCCCTCAGCTATGCGTCATGGTTATAGTGTTTTCTATATTTGGGCTTGACAAACCGACTGGGAGAAGGATTCAATTAAAATTGTCCCCTAGAGAATGGACAAAGATGGCTAGACAAGTGTTTCAGGTATTTTAACTGTAAAAATCACGAACTTGGATGATCCTAATGGATTATTCTCATTATCCGCGATTATCCTCAGTGACGTTGACACCAACAGTCCTTGGCTCCAAGAAAACTATCTTTCTGAATCCGGTTTATGGAGAATTGTTTTGAAATATCAGTCAATCAGTTATGTGCCATGCGTGATACATGATAGCCGATCATTTATCTTTCGATACATGACTGACGAAACAGATTTTTCCCGCAGTAGGTTGCCATTTCTTTCTGCGGCAGACCATTTGCCATCCAAGGGTATATAACCCGGTCTGTCTTGCTATTTACTCATAACTGGCGGGAGAAGAAGGGGATTCATACATTTCCCAAAGGTATTAACACGTAAGTGAATGTAATGGGCTCGACTGGAGTTCGAACTTTGCTCTCCGATTCCTCAATACGAGCCGCTATCCATTACTACACTGTAAAAAACTGAACTTCTCCACTGTTCTAAATTGAATTTTTCTTCTCTTAAAATGGTTGCCAAAGAGCCGAATCTACTCTGCTAATGAATCCGTAACTGGGAGAGCAGACATGGATTCATGAATTTTCAAGGGCATTAGTGCAAAAGTAAAAGCAATCGATTATATCGGAATATCTGCTACACTCGTCGATTCCACTTTTCGCTCGCTATCCGTTACGCTTGCCACACACAGGAAAGAAAAAAAAAACCTACAGCAAAATTTAATTATTTCCCGAGAAAAGCCGTTAATGCTTCTTGTAGTCTCGCGTTTCGCAAAGTTTCTCAAAAATTCCAGTCTAATGTCCGTCCTTTGTGTTTTGTTCACCCCATGAGAAGGGCGAAACTTATTCAATATTCAGAAACTAGGTAACTGTCACTTAACATACCGATTAGCATCTGAATATTCGCAGATTAGAATCTTCTGGTAAAAGAAATCCAATCATGTAAGAGATCATTTTGAATGTCCCTAATCTTAAACGGACACTCGACCGACCTTGAAACGCGAGTGCCATTAAAAAAAAACAAAAAAAATTTGACCTAAAAAAATACCACCGCCAAAAAATTCTAACAAAGCATTTACATGTTCTATGTAGCAGATATGCTGAATTTCACACAAAATTTGATGCAGATGTGGTGATTGAATTTGTCCATTAGCGTAAAGATTGCAGAGCCGTTCCAACACAATGTTAAGTATTGCACACTAGCATGAAGCATATTGACAGACTTACTCAGTAGGGTGTGTATGTATGTGTGTTAGCTTCCCACGCAATTCCGCTAAACTGTCAACTCAGAAGATAGTTCAGGAATGTTCCGATAGCACTTCGAACACATCACCGGACAATAAGCGTATTTGTTGAGAAATAAACATGGCCTGTTAAAAAAAAAAAAAAAAAAAACAGAAGAAAGCAAATACTAAAACGTGCTGGTACGACGATTAAGAAACTGACTACCAAAGCTAAAAATGTATGAGTAGCTGCAGTGACCGGTAAATGGTATTTACCCACTTTCCGCACGGTAGTAGGATATGAAATCATGTCAATTGAACGTGGGGTGCTCGTACGCGTACATATAAATCAAGAGCAAAAATTACCCAGTCACTGTTCTCTGTTACCCTGGCGTCTGTATCCACGAACTCGCCTTCTGTAATTCCATGAGAGGTGCTGCTGCATCGTTGAAATCTCCAGGACCAAGTTTCCTCTCATAACTGAAAGTGAAGGAGAAATGAATTTACTGTGTGGTAAATTTCATTAAGTAACCCCCTAAGTTGTGTGGCTCTTGAGCCTTGTATTTGGGTAAATTTAATTGATGAGAACAGACACTAGAGTTTATTTATGCTTTACTTACTTGCCTTCCCACGGTCGTTTTTAATGTGGGGTGCCCATACAGGTTCGTATAATAAAAATTGTCCAGCCCGTGCAACCACTGTCACGCTGGCATGGTATCCATCAATTTTTTTTTTCAAGTGCAATGAAGAAGTGGAATCTCCGGGAGAAGGTTTCTCTCCTGCCTTAAAATGGATGAGTAAAGATGATGGACGAGTGAAGAAATTATTTACCTTACCTCCGCTCCAGGTAGATTGGATAAGAGATACAGTCAGTTTAACATAGGATGCCAGGCCAATCCTAAACAATGTCTTGTACCAGAGATCGCAGTCATGTTGGCATTGGTGTACGCTAAACATTTCTCTTCAGTGCAATGATGAAGGTGCTGCCACAATTGAAACATCTGTGACTAGGCTTCTTTCATTGCAAAGACCCTGAACTGCCTAAAGGCGAGTAAAGACAAGATATACTTCAAGGGGTGACATGAAGTCGTTTTAATGTCTGTGAATCTCCTTAAATAACCCTTTAATTAGCGTGGCTCTTGGTCCTTGTATAATTGAATTGAAGAGGAAAACAGCTGCTAAATGTTGAGCCTTTATTTATTTGATCTCCAAGGTGGCGGGATGTAACATAAGGTATTTTTAAATGCGGTGCGCTCATACGTGTTCGTATGAG